GCTCCACTTAACAGAGAGAAGGATAATAGTAAGTGAGTGAGTAAAGTACTACTACTTAGCAGTTTATATTATAATACTTACTAATAAAACAATTATTACATTTTAACAAAAGTATTTTCATATGGAAAAGTTTTCAGCTAAATCGGTACTACTTTTTATCATATTGTTAATAATAAATATACCCATATAATCACTTTCTACAGTGTTTCTAAATATTTTTTGTAAAACATAGATCCAAGCCTAAACGTCGGAAATTAAAGAGCATTCAAAATAGTGATTTCTCCTACTTCTTAAATACAAAGACAATAATATCAATTAAAGATGTTATGGATCCCAGTTTTTGAGATGTGTTAGTTATGATTATAATTATTTACTTTGAAATGGACTTAAGAATAGGCAATATTACGAACCACTTTTAGACCGCAGTCTAGTTAGATGGTGATATTAGGGAAGAAAACTACATATACAAAAACAAAATTTTTACTAAGCTCATTTGTCATTAGATTATGAGTTGATATCACATCCACATGCTTTGTTGCCTTTAGCTCCATCTGTTAATTTTCTCTTCCTAATTTTTAAAAATGCTTTTCGGATATAATCTACACGATAAGAACATTTTAAAGACCCCGAAGTAAAATAACACGTTGTCTCTTAGGCGTTGTTGATTGTCGCACACTTTGTATATTGATTTAAAAGTCTGTTAAAACATCTACTATATCTCTCAATAGGCTGTTTGAGTGCTCAATGATTTCTAAGCACATCTCAAAATTTTATAGATAATGAAACATAATTAATAATAATAATAATAGTTAATTAATAATAAAAATAATAATAAAAAATCGGCCTAAAAAAGTCACCTTGGTAATTATGTGGCTCTTCTTGAAATTACATTGCTTAAGCTATATGCTTATATGTATATAAAGTGCAAAAATTAATATTTAAACATTATTCCAAACAACTAATCTATTTTTATTATAAAATTTTGTTAATGCACTTCTCAAGTGAACAGATTTGAGATTTCAGCTCTATGCTACTTTAGCTATATATAGTACATATATGATATATAGTACAAAAAAACATACAATATAGCATACAAGTAACAATATAATAAGATATCTAATACTGCGAAAAAATAAAAAACAATTCACTTACCACAATTCTCCTTAGCATTTATATAAACAGCAATCAAAGCATTGAGCATTCTAATCAGTAAAAATACAAGACTAGTCTCGTTCTCGTTCTAGTTCTCGTAACTCTGGCACTCCCTTCAATTCTCATGGTAGTTCGTTCTCGAGCTCTTATCTCGAGGAATGCCGCATTAAAACTCAGATACGATTAAATTGTTTTTAAATTTCTTTCTATAGCATTTCTAATTTTATTAAAATTTATTTTTTTAAGTATTCATTTATTTTAATATTTTCTACATGTTTTTCTTGTATTTTACATTTGTTCTTTCATATCAAATTTTATGTTCACTTCTTCCCACTTAGTACTCTTGACCTCAAGTAGTTTATTTCGGTTATGCCGATACCCATAAAGCACGAGTTCATGTCTTCCAGAAAAAAAAGTGTGTTTCAATGTGTTTCGGTTTACCAAATAAAAATTACAATTTTCTAAATTATGGACTTCATTATGGACTTATAATTTGAATTGCTGCTGCCTCTGCTGTTTGTGGTGGAGCGGATTTATCAATTCTGAGAATAACGCCTGCTCTAAATTGTTCAGCATCTGATTTTCACTGAGTCAGCATTTGATTTGATTCGAGTCGAGAAATGTGCACAATTAGTAATAAATTAAGTGGAGTCAATGGATGGAATCGAATGGAGACTGCAATTCTAATTCCCGTAGATGCGATGGAAATAAATTTTCATTACCGCGACGTTTCTAAAGAAAATGGTTCGATTAAAATAGAGAAATAAGAGATAATAAAATTGCAAAAAGTTTAATAAAAGAATGGCAAAAAAATAATAAAAATTGATTTTCTAATCTGTTGAAATCCCAATTTGAGATTCAATTGGGTTTAAATTGGTAAAAGAGGAAAATAGTGTCTTAGATACTTTTAATTTCTGTTTTCAATTATAGTCCAGTTGAGCAGCACAACAAATCTCTAGATCGCAGTGCAAGTCCCGCAAATATAACAACATAGTCTAGTCAGTTACCTGTACTAACTGCAAGTCGTTACGTTGCAAAAGTTTGTGTTGAAAGGGTTTTTGGAATACACCCTTAAGGTATCAGAGTAACCGATAAAATACTTATATATATAGCATATGTTTATATATATATGAAGATTTATTATTAAGGTAGCTATACTGATAAAATATATATATATGTATTATAAATATAATCTAACAATATATAAATAATATTAATATATTATTAAATGGTTATTCTAATCAGAAATATATAATATATATATAATGTATCAATATATAAAACATATTAATATACTGTTAAGGTAATTATACTAATAAAAATGATAAACAATATATTTATAATGTATTAATATATAAAGTATATTCATAAATGGTTTAAATAGTTATTGTCATAAAAAATTCATTTTTTTTTTCTGCGAAGCCAACCATTTTTATTTCTTTGCTCTTTGGTCGAAATTTCTTGTTCTCAAAATTTATCAGAAACTATCGTCAAGCAACCAAACTCTCATAAAATGACTACCCATAGAAGCAAGTCTGTGAGTATTTCAACACATTATAATAGGTGTGGGATCTTGAAACGGTTTACGATTTATCAAAATTTATCAGAAACTGTCGTCAAGCACCCAAACTCTCATAAATTGACTACCCACAGAAGGAAGTCTATGAGTATTTTAACACATTATAATAGGTGTGGGATCTTGAAACGGTTTACGATTTATCAAGTGACTTTATATGTTCAGATTAGCTTAGAAAACTTTATAAAAACATAGTACAATACATCTTAATAGGTCTCTCTGTACCATCGTGCCTTCCAATAATAAATATTGATGTGATTTTGCATTTAAAAAGTTCAAAAGTGCATTACAGGCAATTTGTAATTTAAAAAGTGCTTTTAAGTACAACAAATATGCATTATTCGTTTACTTTCAACATTTTAATATTTCAACATTTCTATAAAAGAGCAGGTAGATCAAAAACTTGAATGTAATTCTAATTTTTTAATATATTATAAAATGATACATCTGAACATCGACGGCACTTGAATTTGTTATTGAATTGTACTTCTTGGTAGGCAGTAAATTAAATTGAAGAACCAATATCGAGCTATCGTTCGAGAAGGTCTGTGTCTGTTAGATATTTAAATAAAACATGTTATATTTACGGGCGTACTAAAATATGTATCGCCATTTTAATAAGTCATTTGAAATATAAATTAATTTTACTAGCATTGTGTATGTACATTACTTCAATAATCCTATATGTTAATAAAAAAATTTAGATCATTTTATTATAATATATAATACTATGTTTTTTTTTAATTCATAGTTTATATCATCAACACAATTTTTAATGACATCATATATTACATATACACATTATTTTAAACCATATTCATTGAAACCTATTAAATCGCCATCTCCATAATTTTCTTTAATATATACATAGCTTCTTTTGCTACAGAGGAGAGCACCATATACTCAGCTTTTGTGTTGCTTTGGGTCAGTGTAGACTGATTTTTTGCTTCTCTAAATAAATATACTACTATCCAAGGTATACAAATAACCTGTATATGATTTTTTGTCAATGCTATCGTCGCCACAATCTGTATCTACATACCCTTCAACCGCCCTATCACACACTATTATTGTATACTGTAGCTTCATGTTGATAGTTAGGTGTTCATGATAAAGATTACAATTTCTCTGAAATAGCTTGCATACTGACTTCAACATACTAGATCGCATATTAATAATAATAGGTAAAAACTCTTCATTTCAATCAAAGTTACGCTGGGAACGCTTTCAACTTCTCAATACTCTAGCATCATTAGCATCAATACTCTAGTTTTTAGAACATAAACTCAAGTTTTCTTTAGATAAACTCCAGTTTTTAAAAGATAAACTTAAACTTAGAAGATAATCTTAAGTTCTCAGAACATGAACCCAAGGTTTCAGAAGATAAATTCAAGTTTTCAGAAAATAAACTAAAGTTTTCGGAAGACGAACTTAAGTTTTTAGAACATAAACTCAAGTTTTCTATAGATAAACTTAAGTTTTTAAAAGATAAACTTAAGTTTTTAAAAGATAAACTTAGGTTGTAAGAAGAGGAACTTGAGTTTTAGAAAAACTTAGGTTTTTCAAATTTGGTTTTTTATATATAAATTTAAGTTCTTAGAAGATGAACTCAAATTTTTAAAAGATAATAAATAATAATATATGTGAAGAAATGAGTAATTATAATGAGTGTAAATATTATTTCGACGTTAAAAATCTACAGATTTAAGGAAATTTAAGTAGTCCATTAAAAAATTGCTTAAGAACTGCAAGCGTTTACTGTATTAGAATCTTTTCAATTGAATTGAGTTGTTTTCAGTTCGTCGAAGACCGTAAAACGGTCTTTGTTTTCCTTACGTTTTCTTATATATAATTTTATTGAATATTTTTTATTAAATCTGTTTTATTTTATTTTTTAAATAACAAAAATTCTTAACATAATTTAATGTAAGGAAATAATAAATTCTTTATAACAAGTATATTTCTATATTCCAATTCTATTCAACAACCATCGAACACCTTATCATACGGTCTAAACAATCTTTTGAATAATGTGCTATACCATTCTGCTATAATATTATATACATAAACCAAAAACATAACTCAATTTCAAACTCATTTCTAGCAGCCAACTCCACAGCTGACGCATGTAAACACACTTATTGCACGTTTTAAATGTGTGAGTAACATTTAAAAGCAATATTAGCAATTTTCAGCTCAAACATCGTGCAACCGCAAAGCGAAGCACTCAAACGAAATTTTTGGTTGTAGATATTCAGTTGTGTTGCACAAGTTGGCGGGCGAACATTGGTTATAGTGCGTAGTTGGAAGAAAAAAAAACGTTAGAAATATAAATTTAAAACTGGCGTTAGAAAAATATTTTACGATTTTATTAAAAGTAATAAAATAAATAAATAAAAAACGAATACGTCGATAAAAATCGTTTGATAGTAAAAAAGTTTAACAACCACAACGCGTCATCAAAGCGGTAAAGTGAAGGTTCAAAAAAAAAAATTTTTTTTTAATCCGAATTAGAATAAGAAATTCTAAAATTTACAAAATTTCATTGTTCTGTGTTGTTGCTTTTATTTTTATTATTATTGTTATTTAATTTTTCAAAATTTTATTAATGCAGAACGTTTAAAGGTGCGGTAAAAGGTGAAATGCGAAGGCAAGACATTGGAGCGTAAACGTTAACAAAAAAAAAAAAAATAATTTAAAACGAAAAGTGTTTTTAAAAATTTTTATGAATTTATTTGTTTCTTATTAAAAAATATTTTATTATATTTCGTATATAAATTTTTTTTGTGTATTCAATGTTTTTTTTTTTTTGTTTTTGTGCGATTTTATGAGAGATCGCGTTGTGAATTAAACGCTGACAAATCAAATTCAAAATTAAGGCAAAGCTACAAATGTTTTTATTAAAATAAAAAAACAAAGCTAAAGCAAAAACAAAAAAAAACAATCTACAGGTGGTTGTGTTAACTATAAATGCTGCTATTGTTGTTGTTATTATTGTTGTCGCCTCTTCTCGTTATTATTTGTTCTAGTATTGTTACTACTACTGTTGTTGTTGTTTGTTTCTGTTATTGAATTTCGCATTTACTTATGACTGAAAATTGAATGGCATCAAGTCGATCCGTTGTAGGCCGGCAGCGTTTGCATGATTAAATTGTATGATTAATAGAATTTAAAAGAAATCTACAAATTGTTAATAAATGAATTATTTACAATACAACAACAACAACAACAACAACAACAAAACTGATATATTAAAAATAATATAAAAAAAAATTTAAATGAAAAAAGTTAAGACTTCAATTTAGCGCTGTGCTCACCTTGTGGCATGATTCATCGCGGTTTTAAGTCATTTATTGTTACTTTTTCCCCTCATCTGTTTTCAATAAATTTTATCATATATACCGTTTATTTTATGTATGTATGTATGTATGTAACTGCATATGCAAGAAGAAAATTAAAAGATTACAACCAAAAGTATTGAAAAATAAAAAAATAAAACTCTTCTTCTTCTGTTTTATTTGCCAAAGCAGTTGCTGCTCTTTTCGCATGTTCTTTTCGCCTCAGGTTAAGCTGCCGTCACTTACCAAAACACGGCTAAGAAAGCAGCAAAAATAACAGCAGCGGCGGCAACAATGATAATGTTAAATAAATGCAAATAAAACGAGAAGCAAAACAACAACAAGCAAATCAATTAAATAATATATCAGCTTATACATATGTACGTACGTATGTAGCAGCTTGAAGTTGTATGCACGTTCATATGTGTGCGTGTGTATGACACACACGGCTTACCTGTAGACTGTAGACTTTTGCCCAAAACAATTGTTTTTGCTGCTGTTAACTTCTGTCAACTTCTTTCTGCTGACTGTTTCTTCTTTGTTGTTATATTTTTTATATTTTTGAACGAACTACCACAGCCCGGCTGACTACCTCGGTTGGCTGAGACAATGATATTTGTGCTTGTGCTTGTGCTTGTGCCATTGTGATTCTTATTTCCAACTTTGCCAACTTTGGTCTGTCTGTCAATCTCTCCAAAGGCTTGCAATATTAACAGGCCAAAGTTCAAACTGCAAATGCAGTCAATCATTTTGTTAATAAATTAATTATTACGTCGTCATGATTTCGTTAATGCGATATCGCTTCGATGTAAAATGTAGGGAAACCAAAGACAAGAAATCGTCACTCAATTTAATTTGCTTTTCTTCTTGTAAATTTACAAATAAAATGCGGCGCTGTAGGATGGAGGCGAACTAAGGCAGATCCATTAAAAGTAAGTTTTTTCTTGTATTTTAATTTTTTTTAAACAATTTAAATTAAAACTTTCGAATTAAACAATTGTATGAAATTCATTCTTTTTTTTAATTATTACTTCAAATTGAATTATTTTTGTCTTTCATTGATATAGCACACAAGTAGGCAATTTATAAAATTTATAAAAAATTTATAATTTCATAAAATTTTAATAATTTATAAAATTAATATAAAATAATAATAAAATAATAATAAAATTATTATAAAATAGTAATAAAATTATTATGAAATAATAATAAAATTATCATAAAATAATAATAACTATTTATAAAATAACATTAAACTAATTATAAAATATAACAAAATTATTATAAAATATTAATAATATTATTATAAAATACTAATAAACTAATTATAAAATAACAATAAACTAATTATAAAATATAATAAAATTATTATAAAATAATAATAATATTATTATAAAATAATAATAAACTAATTATAAAATAACAATAAACTAATTATAAAATATAATAAAATTATTATAAAATAATAATAAAATTATTTCAAATAATAATAAAATTATTATAAAATAATAATAAAATTATTGTAAAATAATAATAAAATTATTATAAAATAATAATAAAACTACTATAAAATAATAATAGAATTATTACAAAATAATAATAAAATTATTAAAATATAATAATAAACTAATTATAAAATAACAATAAACTAATTATAAAATACAATAAAATTATTATAAAATAATAATAATATTATTATAAATTACTAATAAACTAATTATAAAATAATAATAAAATTATTGTAAAATAATAATAAAACTATTATAAAATAATAATAGAATTATTACAAAATAATAATAAAATTATCATAAAATAATAACAAAATTATTATGAAATAATAAAATTTTTATAAAGTAATAGTAATAATTATTATTTATTAATATTTTTCACTTTTTGTATATTATTACGTACATTTTATCTGTAAATGTTTACTTATTGGAAAATACAATTCACTTACTATATGTTATTTTTCATGTATATTTTTTATGTGTATTAATATTTGGTTATTATTTATTATTATTTGTTTAAATATAAATATTTTATATTATATGTTATAATTTAATTGTTATATGTTATTATTTATTATTTATATTATTATTTTATATTATTATTAACATATAATATATTTTTATATCATTATTTTATAATCATATTTACTTTTTCTATATTATTAGTTACTTTTGTATAATTATTTGATTATATATAAATATTAACTTATCATATATTATTATTTCTTTCTTTTTCTTATTTGGCACTAAAGTCCAGTATGAACCTTGGCCTCTCTTATTCTTATTTCTTTATTTTATATTATTATTAACAAGTAATATACCATATATTTATTTCATTATTATGTGATATTATTTACTTTATTTATATTGTTACTTACTTATTATATGTTATTATTTACTTATTATATATTAATATCTACTTATCTCATATTATTATTTTTAAAATATTTTATTACATTACTTATTTTATGCTATTACGTATTTACGGAATGAATTTTATTATATACCTAATATATATTATTATTTTCATAATATATATAGTAATAATATATATTTACTTATTACTTATTATTATATATTTACTTATTATTTACTTATTATACATTATTATTTTTTTATATCTTCGGATAGCATCATCTATGTTACGTTGTAAAATTTTCAAAGCTTATTATACAGACTATTGTATCATCTATTGCATTTGAATTATGGGGTGCTCAGTGTCGTCTTTGGCTGCATCTCTGCATCTCTGCATAAAAATTTCAGATTGTTTGTGAAGAGGTATTTTTGAAATACCTCAATTCCTAAATTCTGTGACCAGAAAGGAATTGAGTAGATACTAGTTTACTTTCCCAGTTTTTTATCTGACCATTTCGCTGCGTTCAATCGTCCTCAAACGCGGTCAAGCAGAACTAACGTCTGTAACGGCGACCTCAGTATGTAAGTAAGCCTAATATCTTGAATTCTGTGGTAATATCACAAAACATATGTTATCTGTGTCTTAACTAATCGAATTTTGTTTATTCTGTGTCTAAGAATTGATACCGAACAGTTCCATTTATATCTTTAAGATCTTTGAGATATATATAAGAGATATAAGAGATATAAGAATATATATAATAAAAAGTAAAAAATTATAAATTTTAAAAAATAATTTTGTATTATTCTCTATTACAAATTAAATTTGTAATATAAAGAAATCATTCACGAATTTTTAATAGAAAATTCTCCAAAAATGATGATTTCATCAAATATAAAATCTCTCTTCTGCTTAATGTATTATGTATTAAATTTTTTTTAAATGTAATTTACGATTAGTGTAATTAGTATGTAGTTTATAGAAATCATGGGTGTGGTTTTAAGTACTTATTGTATTCACATAATATATTATAAATGCAATATATGAACATATATATATAGAAAATTTATTGTATATATAACGTACGTATAGCAAACAATAAAGCATTGTAATGAAAAAACTATTATAAACTAAATTAAATTTATTATAAAAAGTATATTTTCAAATAATCACGAATATGAAATTAAAAAAATTTTGATAATAATTTAATTATTTGTTTTTCTAATAATCAACGTTATTGTAATTATTATTATAAATGCACTTGAACTTAATAATTTGCAAATTGATGGCTGTTATCAAAATGTAGTATAACGAAAATGTGAAAGCTCAAATTTATGATTTATATATATATTTTTTTTATTTACTATATTATCTTCATATGCTGATAAACTAAGAGAGCTCAAAAATAAGAGAGCTCAAGACCTAAGAGCGCTCAAAAACTAAGAAAGTTGAGCAATTAAGAGAGCTCAGAAACTAAGAAAGTTCGAAAACTGAGAAAGCTCAAAGAAAGAACTTAAATGATATTATGTTTGATCAACTCTAGGTAATTAATATTACCCACGACATCCGTCAACATAGCTATAAATATGAATTAGAGTCATAAAATCCGGTTACCAGTTTTACAAAATTGAAATGAATCAATTGATTTGGACTTACGAGTGTCTATGGTAAATACGTACTATCCTTCAAAGAAATCCTACAATATAAATATTAGTGGTTAAATGGAAACTATAGGAAGAAGAAAGTACCATAAATGTGTACTGTAGTGAAAAATCT